ATATGTTTAGAATAATTGTATTAGATATGCTACAAATGAGTGGGAGTTTCCACCTACACAAATATGAATCCCACTCAAACTACTATTTAATCTTTACCTATCCATTAGCATTTAAACCATAAAAGGCATTAGAACAAGGAATGACAAGAATGTTGTTAGAGTTACTATCATATATTAACTGAGCTGGATTTAAATTTCAATTAATGTTTTGAAATTTTGTGTATGTGCTGTAATTATGCTATTTATAACAATGACAATATGAGTTATATATGTAAATCCACATTTTTAATTAGATAAAGAAGAAGTAGATTCATTTGAGGTCGATCCTAAAAATGGTGAAGTGAGATTGGTGAAAGCTCTCGATAGTGTACAACAAAGTTTTTATCGTCTCTTTGTAACAGCAACTGTGGATACCATTCCTCCAAAATCAGACAGTACAGAAGTAACTCTTTTATATTCACTTATTAAAAAAAATAAATTATAAATAAAGTATTAATTAATTATCATGAATAAAAATATTTTTCATTAATTGTTGGATGTATGAAACATTTATTTACTAGTAATTTAATTAAGATTTGCATTAAAAAATTGCAATAAATTGTAAAATGAAATAAACCTTATATTTTATAATTTCAAGCAAATAATTTAGAACATAATAATAAAAAGTTAAAAAATTTAGATAAACATAATTAAAAATGTTTTAATAATATATATTTGTACTTAATTGATAAATTGGCTCTTTCAGGTTAACATTATTGTTGGAACAGGACAAGGAGTAAGAATGTTTCCAACACGTCTCTATGAAGTAACTGTTTTTGAGAATCAGTTAGCTCCTATGATTATTTTAGATCTAAATTCAACAGATGAAATTTCACAACATTCCGTAAGATATTCTATTGTGGGACATAACTATAATGGTAAATACTAATTAGAAAAATAGTCTTGTTATTAACTTTAATTCTTATATTAAAAATATTATGAAATATTTATAGGTCTTTTTATGATGGAAAAAGAAAATGGAAGATTATCAGTTACAGAAAGTTTAGATAGAGAACTTAAAGATAGGTACACATTAAAAGTTAGAGCTGAAAAGGGAAGACGTGTTGGCAGAGACATAAGAAGTTAGTTAATATTTGTTTTAAACAAACATAATAAGTCAATTTAATTTTTAAAATAAAATGTTTATATATTAATTTTATAGGTAAAACAGATGATATTTCTTATCATCTTGCTTATGATGAAGCATTAGTGGTGATTGAAGTAGGTGATGAGAATGATAATCCTCCCATTTTTGAAACAAATGGTAAACCTGTTGTTGCAGCTGTTCCTTTAGAAGCCAGTTTTGGTTATCAAGTTGTAAAATTAAAGGTAACCTTTTCAGTTAAAATAGCATTATGATGATTAATTACAAGAGGAAAAGCAAATGAATGTTTTTAAGATTCTATATTAATTTATTTAAAAAAAATTTTTGCTTATTTTATAAACCATCCTAAGGTTTAAATTCAAAAGCTGATGATGGCTTATACAGTACCTCAGGATACAAACACCTCAGGATACAAATACCCCAGCATACGAAATTTTCAGGATACGGCATGAAATTCGAACATATTTTTACTCCACGATATGAACAAAACTCACCATATGACATTACATTAGTTTGCAGTGCCATTTTTTTTATTCACTTCTGTTCATCGGTCTCAGTCTGCGTGTTTGCTTTGTCGTGGAAGGATCTCGCTCGATANACGAACAAAAACTCACCATACGACGTTACATTAGTTCGCAGCGCCAGTTTTTATTCACTTCTGTTCATCGGTCTCAGTCCCGCGTTTGCTTCGTCGTGGAAGGATTTCGCTCGATAAAGGAAATCTTGAGGTATTATCAGAAAGTGATCGATTTTATTGGAAAAAAACATCCCGAAAAGGTTCACACTGGCTGTATTGCCGCTCGGAGTAACGACATTTGCCTAAGTTATTTTAGAATCATTTTAAAAAGCAGGCAAAGCCAAAACCTCTTTGGATAGATATTTTACTGAGCGACCCCTAGCCAGTGAAAGTTCTGATGGAAGTGAAGGAAAAAAAGCAAAAAGCAGCGAATGAAAATTAAAACAAAAAAATATAAAAAACAACACTAATTTTTTTTATCTTTTCCTTTTAAGTTATTGTTATATTATGTTATGTAAGTTAAGTTTTAGTATCATTTCCCTTCTCCCTCTCTTCTGCCACCAGTTTACACCTCCACCGTCATCTATCCTCAAAGGTAAAGTGCAAATAAAAACTACATTTTTTTATCAATTATTATTCTATTATGGTAATACATTTACAACTACAAAACATATTTTTCAGTGTTTTCCTTACTATAGTTTTTTTTTTTTAATGTACTACTTAGCTTTAATTTGAGTGTTTTTCGTGTTGGAATGAATTATTTGGTTTTACATGTAATCGTATGGGGACAAAATGATTCCCCTTACTACATTTTCATGATATGATCTCAGTTTCGGAACAGATTAATTTCGTATCCTGAGGTACCACTGTAATCCAAAAACATTCCTTTTTTTCAGTAAATTAAAATTGTATTGTACTTTTTTCTATTTACTGTATTTTATGGTATATAAGATGCATGTCATTTCAGCTATCCTATATCTTTGGTAATCAATCTCAAATTTTCTTACTATATTATGGTTTAAAAATAAATAAAAAAAATTAAAATTAGAATACACACTTTTATTTGTTAGGGAAAAAATAGAAATTTAAAAGAAATAATTCACAATTAAAATTTTTCATTAAAATATTCAACATGAATACATGCAAAAAGCTGCTTACCTATAGCAAAAAATAATAATGTGTTTAAACAATAGTATTTTTATTAAAGAACTGAACTTGGTAAAGATCACCTTTAACCTACTGAAGGCTGTTTGGTGAATTCATTAATTAGCCTATGGGAGATTGCAACTTCACATATAAGATGCAAGGCTGTTTTTGAGCCTGTTTTTTATGTAACAAAAGTTGCATATTCTATGCTGTAAAATATGGTAATTATCTAGTTTTCGTTTTTTAATTTAATTATAACAATATGTGTATTTTAGGCAAATGATGCAGATATTGGTTATAATAAAGCCATTCGTTATGAGATTATTCGAAAATCTGAAGACTCATCTATGAAATTTCACATTGATCCCATTACCGGAGTGATACGCTCTATGATAACATTTGCTCTAGATGGTGGACGTATTTATGGTTTTGATGTGAAAGCATCAGACAGAGAAGGGAGCGAACATGGTCATTCTGCAATTGTTAATGTTTTTGTAAGTTTCTCAAATATAAGGTGAATGTAAAGTTATAGAAACATTGCAGTTATTCTAACAATTAAAATTTTTATTCATTGAATAGATATATGTGTTACCAGAAACCAAACTTGTAATGTTTGTTGCTGCAACAACTCCTCTTGTTATTGAAGAGAATGTTAATAAAATGCTCAGGTAATTACATTGATTAAATTCATAATAAATTTTTTAATTTATAATTTTTAACGTGTTATATTTTTTTCTTTAGTTATCTCAGTAATATTACAGCTATGGATGTAAAAATGGCCAAATTAGAACCCCATCATGAAGGGGAAAAGGAACATCCAGATATGTATGTAAAAAACATTGATTAAATTGAAATTATTCAATAATATTAAGAATTAAATACAACTTTTGCTTAAATTTTAGGACTGATATTTTCTTATATGCTATTGATCATCAAACTAATGATGTTATAGAAACAGAAACATTATTGAGGTAATTTACTGTATATAAAGTGTTTTGTGTAATTATAAATTATTGCAATTTGATTATAATTTTATTTTTTAAAATATCTTAGTGCACTGAAGAAACATTCCCATTCAATTATCAATTATTTGGATCAATTCAAAATACGTCACATCCAGGGTGTATCGGTTCAAGAAAAAATTAGCCAAATGGGTACAACAGAAATTGCCATTATAGCACTTAGCAGTGTCATATTTTTGGGAGCTATTTTAGGCATTGGACTGTTATGTTCTTCATGCAAAAAAAGGTTTGAATTGAAAATTGCCTATACCTTGAAATATTAAATTCTAGTTTGTACTGTTAAGTTTTATTTATATATTATTCTAGTAGAAAACCTCGATATGGACAGAAACAATGGGAACATCAAAAATTGTATAGCATAAAAAATCCTCTAATGAGTAAGAGTTTAGGTAATCCGTACGGACAACATACTCCTTCAGGAACAATAGCAAATTTAAAAACAATGTATTCAAATGGAATGTATGTATTTTTTTTATTAAGTATATGATATATAATATTTTTACTTCTTTATTATTAACTTTTGCAACATGTTACAGAGGAGACTATGCGGATAGTCTGAACGATGATAGTTCGCTAAAGCGAAACATGAATCGGCGATCACGTCAACACGTACCTCCCGACGGAGCATCGTCTCTCAATCCTTCCAGGAGTCCGAGATTTGAAAGATATAAGAAAAATGAAAATAACCAATGGTATGATATGAAAGATGGAATTGACTCTGTGTAAGTTTTTATTAATTAAGAATTTGTTACTTATTTTTAATCTAAGCAAAGTTAAAAATATAAATTTTTAATATTGCAGCATTTCGGGGGTATCCAAAGGATCAGCTTTTAACAGTTGGTCATCGCTTCAATCACATAACAATCCAGTAACTGAACTGTGACAATTTTAGTTTTAAAAAATTTATTTGCCAAGAAGAATTATATTATTACATCAATTCTAACATTTAGACACTAAAAAAAATATTTCAGAAAACTCACAGAATGTTGCCAATGATGACAACAATGTATTTTTACTTAATATTTTTTTAATATGTATATGTCTGTAAATATTTTAAATGCTATATTATAAAATAAATAAATAAAAATATTTCTATAAAAATGCCTCTTTTATATTGTGAGTTAGCATTAAGTGATTTAAAATATAAGATAATTTATAACATCTACATTGCCAAACGTATCCTTTAATATATGTATACTTTAAAATAAAAACATTACAAAGTTTCAATGAACCCAATAAAGTTATGTAATGTCAGAAGATCTAACATCATCCATTTTTTATGTATTACCTAGAAGAGGTACAACTGGGTTTATCCAACCTAAATAGGCCACTAGCAAAACTAATATATATGCAGACAAGGTAGTAGTTTTGGACACCTGGATTCAAAGTTAATAAGCTTATTTTATTAGGGATCAAGTAGATCCTAGTTCATTTCTGTATATACTTTTTTTTTTGTTAATTGTGGATTAGTTTATTAATTCATTGCTAATTTAATGTCAATGTGTTAAATTGCAATGACTGAAGAGAAAACAATTCAAATTATCTGTTATAAATTTGAATTATTTTGTATTTTGATACCTTTCATATGTTTAAAGTCTAAAAATAAATTTTAAGTTCTGCTATAATTTATCAAATAACCTTTACAAATACAATACATATAACTAATAAACATTTTTTGCTGCTATACAAAATTGTATGTACTTGATTTGAGTGTTTAAAGCTCTGCATCTAATATAAAAAATAATGCTTTTTAATTTATTATAAAAAGTATTATATTAAATTTTATATGAAGATCTGTAAAACAAATAGAACATTATAAATATATATATATATATATATATATATATATTGCTGTTAAATGTAGCTTTTTGTTTTTTTTAAATAATAAAATTCCTTTTATATATTTAATAATCAAATCACACAACAACCATATCCTGTAGAATCATATAAATTACATTTTGGAAATTTGTTCTATTTTTTTTTCTTTTCCTATTGAGATAGGGCTTTCCATATTGCTTCTAGGTATTACTAGAATGGGGCCAGAATAAGTTGCTTAAGTCAGATCCAATCTTCTTGACGCTAAGAAATTATCAAACACGTTTAATTTAGAGACTATTAATTAATATTCGAAGAGAATAGGGGGGTGGAAAAATAATAATAAGTTCGAACTGATTAATAATGTAAGCGGACTGATAAAGAAAACTACCATCCAGTCAAGTTTCCTACTGCTTTTGACAGCAAAACAGGTCACAGTCAAAAAGTTGTTCATCCTGTCTTGAGGGGGGAAGGGGGTTGAAAATCATAGTAGGCCACCTGCCTCGTTCTAAAACTCATCTCAAACGTAGCGGAAGTTAGTTGATATTGGTGTCGTTAATACGACAGACATTATCGCTTTGATTATTGTCCCGTCTCTACGCGATTATGAGGAGACAAACTATTGTAAGCTGCTATCCAATTCATGGAAAGTTATAAAACTATTTGCCCATGGCACCCTTCCTATTATTGGTGAGTTTGATCGATTTTTTAAATCAATATAATAATAACGCGCCGGTAAATGAATTTGCAAAAGCACACAAAGTTTAATTTAGATATTATATTTATTTGCTAAAATGAATTTTATGAAGTCACTAAAAGAGATCCACCCCGTTGTGTCTAACTATTAGGGCAGTAAGGCTATTTTACGCCTGAGTGAGATTCTTTCGACCTCCTCTAACTTCCGCATCTTCGTTATCGGGTCAAAGTTTAATAAAAATTTACTTAATACTACTATTGTATAAGTGTAGAGAGATGGCTACTGTCCAAGAATACCGTTGCTCGCGTAGTATAAAAAAGGAAAAAAAACCTGTAGAGTTACTTAGTCACTAAGATGACCTAGGACATCAAGTAGACACTATAACAAGTCTAGTGAAAACTATAAATGTTTTTGAATCGTTATGTTTATTTTGATGAATTTTCGTGTAAAATAATGTACACAAGTTGTATTTCATTTCTTTTTTTTCCTCCTCTTTTAGATAATGATAGTTACGCTATCAGAAATTAAAAGTCAAAGCTGTGGTCCTCGGATAAGCGCACGCCTGCTTATGGATATACCTTGTGATATGAACAAAAGTAATTACTGTACGCATCCAGGTTCTGCTTATCCCTGGTTTGTATTGACTTTTTTTTTTTTTTAAAGTAATTTTACCGATTTCCTTCTGTGTCTTAAAACTTTTCCCTCCCGTACAGGCAAGCTGTTAGGAAGTATATTTACGACAATCAGGGATTAATGAGAAGGATGTACGGCGATGAAGTGCACAGTATTGTGCTCAGGAACGAAATATCAGCTAGGAGAGAGAAATATGACGTAAGTTGGTCTGCTAGGTCAGGTTTCGAGCGTTCTGTAACAAATCTTCGACCCCGGGCACGACCATCTTCAGTTTCGAAGACTCTGACATCATCCAACACCAAAGAAACTACGGCTGGTAATTTAAATGTGACGTCAGAAAATTCTCCGGGCGATTTAGATGTAGAAACTTCAACAGCTGTCCCGTCAATTGCTACCGAAACTACCAGTTTCGCCAGTAGAACCGATACAGCTTTCACCGAGGAAGCAGTAAGTGTCGAAGACGTCACAGAAGATAAATTATCAAACACCATTCATACCGATGACGTAGACGAAACAGCGGAGAAAAATACGGAAAACGTAGAAGAAGAATACTTCGAAAGAGGAGTGTAGGTATATTGTATGTCAACTATTCGTTTGCATTTCGTTTTATAAAGCTCACACGTGTTATATGACCGCCAAATTTTTTTTTTTTCGTATATGTTAATTAAAGGAATGCTTGCCCCGTCAAGGAAGAAGTCGTAGCACCCTATTGGGCTAATAATACGAGGGGTGAAACTCTGGCTTTACTTAACGTTTATCCTTTTCAGCAATACGTCATATGGGAATCGTGTGCGTAAGTATGTTCGATCTACAAACTACCGTTACGTTTGCTTTATACTGTTACGTAATTTCCTGTTTAACAGTTTTGCAGGGGAGCAGATGCTATGCCGGAAAGGATGCAAGTGCGAGCAGCAATATCGGTTACATCGTCTCTTAGCTTTCGATCCTAAAAACGAATGTAGAGGAGTTTTCTCCGATTGGTTTCGATTCCCTTCTTGTTGTGTTTGTATTTGTTATTCTGTATCTCGCGATTCCGAAGAAGAATGAATTTGTTTGTGTGTTCAAAAAGTATTTTTAAAGACTGCCCCAATCGAAGTCATTTCGACCAAATTATTCCTCATCAATCTGTAGAGTCCAGTGTGATGGTCTGTAGAATAGCATTTTGTGATAATAAATTTTTTTTACCAAAGCCAATCAATTATATATATATATATATATAAAGGTTAATGTGTATAAGAAATGATAATATAAAGTTAATAAAATTTTAACATTGAAAATTTGAAATGAAATGTTTCTTTTGTAGAATGTAAATGGGACGTAACTTTATTGTTATTTTAAATTGAGTGATGCGGTCGGATGAATACGATAGAAATGAGTGATTTCAAGGCTTATTATGATGCGTTACGATATTTTTCATGTATAATAATCTCAATAGATTGAATAATATGAAAATAAACGTTATTCGGAGTGTGATTAAACAATTTCTCGAATAAACAATTGATACAGTAAGCCAAGGAACTTTTGATCTGTGATCCTTTTTTTTTTTATATATTAAAAGTTTATTTGATAACTAAAGAAACAGTTCTATGATCATTTTCAAGATTTAAACGAGGTTTCGGATGATAAATTCTTTCAAAATCCTTTTAAAGATTAGTAACAAATGGGAATATTGTTTGCCAGCCACCATTTATTTAGTTTGATATTGCCTTTTTCGCACTTAATCATTTTTTCAGGATTCCTATTGATCCTTCGAGGATACCATAGCAGCAGGAAATCCTAACGGTCGTAATCATGTCAATAGACCTTCTCTGCAACTTAATTCTTTGAGAGGATTAATAAACTTTTACAAAAGAATAACAGTATGGTACCTATATAATGGACTATGTGGAAAAAGTCACTCAGCACTGAGCCTGAAAAGTCCATTGCGCCGATATAGACCGGAAGCAGAGAGATGGGGACTAACCTATCCTGTACCTCGTCTACCTGAAGATTTATGGGATTAGTTATAGCTTCTTCAATTATGCCACGTAATACAGAATACCATGGGAAGGTACCTCATAACACTTCTTGATTTGTAAAATTAGATCATATTCCACTGTAATCTGATCAGGCTCGCTCTATGGAAATTAAAATAATGGAAGACAGCGAACTGATTAAAGATCAATCAGGCCAAACAAATAAAAAAAAACACCGAATAGTCTACTGGTAGTTGGTCACGGGTTCGCGCCTAACCAATGGATTGGCCTTGGTTTTATCCAAGTTTTCTTAAATAAAGACCAGCTTCCCATAAAAAGTCTTCCCTGGAGGCACCTTAGCAGAGCACCCCAAATCTGCCAAGGGGACCTTTCAAAACCAATAAGGAGAGATAAAGGTTTAGTTCTTCATCAATTTTAATTAAATTTACATGATACTCGAAGCGATTGCCTATACAAGCTTCGCATCTATAGATAATAGATCATGATTTAAACCTACACTGTGTAATTGTTGGGGTCTTTGAAGTACTACGTCAGCAGCGGCTTCGTGAATTAATTAATTGATCAGGATTTTGAATTGTAACACAATACCAGGGGCGGACTGGCCATGTGGAAAATGTGGAAAATTCCACATGGGCCGTATACAATTTGGGCCGTTTTTTCTAAATATGTACTGTACATAATGTATCGTATGGTTAAGTTTAATTTTAAAAAATTCATTTATTTTTTTCGTTAAGTAAGGTAAATTTCAATTTTTAGGTGTAATATGTGTAGGCCTGTATTTTATCTGGCCCTACCCGTATCGGAAGTTAAATTAGTTCGGCCGACCTGAGTCAAACACTACATTAGCCCAATTAGACCCAAACAGAAAGCATCCTGGAGAAAAATAATCAAAAACTACCTTCTAAACAGAGAAAATTGGTCATTTGTTTACAATGCTACAAACTATTCACTACTCCTATGAATCTTAATGCTAAACTACGGAAATGCGAGTTATTAGTTTTGTACCTAAGCCACCAAAGCGATGATTGTAGTCATAACAAATTTAATGGTCACTTATATTATTTCCTTTATTTTAGGTAAGTAAAAAATGTTATTCAATAATAATTTCTCTATATTCCAAACTATTTAATTAAAAATAATCTATTTTGTAGTGTGAGGCCGGGACCTCATCCATCTCCAATGGGAAACTGGTTGTCGCGCTAAAGCTAATAGAGAGGTTGCGGCCGACGTTTTCAATGCGAAAACGTGTACGTCGGACGTTCAGTGCCGCCTTCCTGTGAGTCTAGAAGTTTGACAATGGCGTTTGGAACGTCAGTGGAATCATGCTCGACGTTCCAAATGCCATTGTCAAACTTCTAGACTCACAGGAAGGTGGCACTGAACGTCCGACGTACTGTACACGTTTTTGCGTTGAAAACTTCGGCCGCAACCTCTCTAATAAATCGGTGATTTCTTTCGTAAACAGGAACTAGTGTAAAATGATTTGATTGTCGCATTCCCGGACCAAATTCACACGTCCTCGATCGTAGATCGTGGAAGGTGGGAGAGAGAGCAACCGGGGAGAGTTCGACGATCATCTTACAGCGAGTTCAAAGCACATTAGCCCAAAATTTAAGAGACCGTCACCAAATATTCCTGAAAATGCATTTAAAAAATTAAGCAGTATTTTAATACACTTAATTAATCCAATAGCAACTCAACACAATATTATTTCAGAATTGCAACATTTTAAATCGTCATGGAATATTTTAAAGAAAAATGTCGGTGAAACTTTCATAAAATTAAACGAAAATAAACATTCTACTGATGATCAAGTAGAAACTAATAAAGATGCGATTTTATCCTCTTACTGCATTGCTTCCAATAATTGCCCTATTTGTTGCTATAATATATTATTCAGATATAACATATTAAGTGGCGCTTATTCTATACTTGGTCAAGCATACAAATATCTACTGTCTGTCTGTAACACAAGTGTCCCGTCAACAAAGCTTTTCAATGTTAAAATTAAAAGCAGGCTAAGATACTTATAAGTATATCGCAAGAAAATCTAGAAGCCTTCGTGTTAATGTCAGTGGAGAAGGATTTTTTAAACCAAATACATTCTGATGATGTCATTTCTTTCTGGTAGGACTTTCTATGGAAAATTGTTCCTTATTTAAGTATTAGACACGAGAAAAAATTAAGTTGGTTTTAATATTTGTTTTTCTGCATAAATACTTTTTTCTTTTACAAATTAAACTATGGAAGAACACGAAAACGAATTGAATTATGTCAAAGAACATGGTAAACTTTATATTAATTCATTATGCATTTTCATTATTTCGTATTAAGCGAGTATCTAGGAAGGAATATAATAAATTCATCTTATTACTAAACGTTTTTTTCATTATCTATTAGGTTTTTTTTCAACACATTCAATTGAAAGAATAGCGGGCAAAGACTTTTAATCGAAATGATTACAATTCAAAAATATTTCCCAGAAAAGATTACTACTTTTGCTAATATGAATAATTGCATATAATTATATTTTTCCAGCTACACCTATACTTCCTATTCTTACGTATTCATTATTTATACAGAATTTTTTTNAGCGGGCAAAGACTTTTAATCGAAATGATTACAATTCAAAAATATTTCCCAGAAAAGATTACTACTTTTGCTAATATGAATAATTGCATATAATTATATTTTTCCAGCTACACCTATACTTCCTATACTTCCTATTCTTACGTATTCATTATTTATACAGAATTTTTTTTTATATTGTTAAATAACTGATAATAAAAACATTACAATATAAATATTTCTTAAAGTCTTAATATAGAATTGAGAGATGAACAAGATTCAAGAACTTAATCCAAAAAAAAACCCTTAATCATTTCGGGTTTATTGTTGAAATAATCAAAACACAGTCGAACCTCCACTAAGGGGATTATAAAAAGTGGCTTTTTGTTTGTTATTTTGTATGCATTTTTTTTTTTCGACGTTCGTGAAAAAATGGCCTCTAAACGGTGGCCATTATTTCATGTGTGACAACTCTATGCAGGTCATACAACTCTATGCGTTCCGCCGTTGAATGTGTTGTGCAGCGAATCTAGTTTTTTAGACCATGGAAATGAAGGGTACAATGTGGAATTGAAGTAAAATCTAGCCGAAATTCGCTAGAAAACGTATGTAACGGGCTATTTAAGAATTAAACGAAACCTCCTCCACACAAATTATTGAAGCAGCGCTAAATTTTACCCTAGCAGTTGATTTTGAAGTATTTTTCCCGAAAATCAAAACGACAACCGAGGATTAGGTGGCCGAGGAGGTTAAATCGAGTTAAGAACTCGCTCAAGAAATTAAATTTACATCTAAACCTGATATTCATTCGTTTTGTCCGAATAATGTACACTATTACATCAATTTGACGTCATTCTTACAGTTTTTCCTATGAGAAAATGTGATAATGACGTCAAATTGACGTAAAAATGTAGACAAAAGAATGCGCGTCCACCATATAATAGAGCTTTTTTGTTTTCATTATATTATTTATTAATAATAGTTTACATTAATTATAAGTTCAAAAATATTAATTATTATTATTAAAAATGAATTTTAACGTAATTATATTTACAGTAATTATAAAATTAGCGACAAACGAAATGAAATTACGAAATGTCATGTAAATCCAAATCTTCTAATTCAATAACAAAAAATAAATTTAGAATTAAATTATTCTATTTTATTAATATTTCTTACGTTAAATAATAAAATATTTTTAAGTGTAAAAATTTTTTAAAATTAATTTGGTTATTAACAATATCAGAAGTGGCTATAAATGAAAAGAGACACTTTACGGCAGTGTTACCACGTTTTGTTTGGATGGGCGGAAATGGCGGCAACTGTGAACGAAACAACGATCACTCTTAAAGGATCTGCAGACATTGTCGCGGAATTTTTTAGTAAGTTGTTCAATACGTCATAAAATGCCGTAAAGTACGAAAATATTCTAAAATGACACGTAATTAAAAGTGAAAGCATTTATTGTACGTATGACACGTGTCTTGCTGATTAAGACTACATAAATATATGTAATATATACTGTAATAGATGTGACTTACATTTTAGCAACCAGTAAAGAATTTAAAGTTTGTCATATGATGATAAATTTGGTATCAATGCTACTTATATATCAATTTTGTATTTATATTAAAAATACTAAAAAGTATTAGTGTTTCCCATTCTCCCTCTTATGCTGGTTAAAACATAATAATTCTTCCAAAATGAATGAAAATTGCAGTATATAGAATGCTAATGCCTCCGTATTGGCAAACCTCTATACGATTGTAACCGTTATGTACCAATGTGCCGTGTCGTGTTTTGGTAAGAAAGTAAACAAATCCATTTGCTCGTGGCATGTGCTTTCGAGGCTCGTGCGGAGCTCATGTCTCGCCACACTGTACCGAGCCTTGATGAGTCGTCATGTTAAATAATACAAACACATCACGTCACACGTGACGGATTGGCTCAGCATTGATCGAATATGGAGATTTACAGATTAGTTTTCAAATATTGAAAAGGTGGACATGTAGGAGGACAGAACTTACAAAAGAAGGACTGTCCTCCCTAGAGAAGGACGATTGATCATCTTAATTAATCTTAAATTATCAGTGTTGGGGTGAAGTGGGTTTCTAGGTTTTGTGGTAGCCTGTATTTTCCGGGAGTCGAGGAGTCGAATCTTTTTACGAGAATTGTAGTCGATTTTAAAAAATACCGACCTCTCGTCCCTGATATTTTCCACGGGGTCCTATGGAGTGACTCGCAAAAATTTAGTTCAGATTGGTCAAAGGGTTTAGAAGTGTATAGGAGACAGGCAATTGTTTCTTTTTATGTACCATATATAGATTATGTTCAAGTAATTAATATCTTAAGAGTTATAAAATTATAAAATTTATTTTTTAAGCATTAACTGTGATAAAGTAACAGTTTTAAAATGTTTTGAAGTATCTTTTCTATTTAAAAAAATTTCAATAATATTTATTAATCTAATTTATATAGAAACTGTTTTTTTTACTAATTAATTATAGTGATATTGTTATTTTTATTAAATATAATATTTTAAAACTTTTTGTATGAATTTTAATAGATTATGGAATAAATAGCATTTTATATCAAAGAGGAATCTATCCACCAGAAACATTTACCCAGAATCAGAAATATGGATTAACTATTTTAATGACTGATGATAAAGACCTTAAAGAATTTTTATCTAATATATTAAAACAGGTCCATGGTAAGTTACTTGAAAATTTAAATTTATTTGAAAATATAATAAATAAAGCATTTTTTCACCAAATTCATTTAATATTATGATTAATAGATTCATCAACCATAAAATAATTCAAGAAAATCAAAAAGTTGAGTAGTAGGGTGACTTTTACCATTCAAATTTGTCTTTAAAAAGTTCATTATTTAAATAACAACATCCAAGCTTTTTGGTCAGCAAGCCAAATTACACAAATTCTAGATTGATGGGTCATGAATATTTTTATACATACCAGAGTTTACAAGAAATACTTTTGATGAACGTATTTCTGTGGTGCCCTTTATGATAGCTACTCTATTCGGGGGGTGGGAAGATTATGCCTCGGTCCGTAAAAGTTACTCAGCTGTGATTCGTCCTGGTGTAAATTTAGCATGATGTTGCACCAGTCAAATTGCTGTGTATCATACCCTGTATGTTATGACAACATAATGCATGTCATGGCAACATAAAATTTGATGTATTTGTGACTGCTGCAGTCTACATTGCCTTTCTGCTTATTGCACTCTTGTGCAAGCAGTATATTACATTCAGAATTGTCATATGCATAGGTCTTGGTGCTGCTGGAAAGTACGTGCTAAATCTATGTGCCTTTTTCATTTTGNTAAGTTACTTGAAAATTTAAATTTATTTGAAAATATAATAAATAAAGCATTTTTTCACCAAATTCATTTAATATTATGATTAATAGATTCATCAACCATAAAATAATTCAAGAAAATCAAAAAGTTGAGTAGTAGGGTGACTTTTACCATTCAAATTTGTCTTTAAAAAGTTCATTATTTAAATAACAACATCCAAGCTTTTTGGTCAGCAAGCCAAATTACACAAATTCTAGATTGATGGGTCATGAATATTTTTATACATACCAGAGTTTACAAGAAATACTTTTGATGAACGTATTTCTGTGGTGCCCTTTATGATAGCTACTCTATTCGGGGGGTGGGAAGATTATGCCTCGGTCCGTAAAAGTTACTCAGCTGTGATTCGTCCTGGTGTAGGGATTAATGAGAAGGATGTACGGCGATGAAGTGCACAGTATTGTGCTCAGGAACGAAATATCAGCTAGGAGAGAGAAATATGACGTAAGTTGGTCTGCTAGGTCAGGTTTCGAGCGTTCTGTAACAAATCTTCGACCCCGGGCACGACCATCTTCAGTNGGTCCGTAAAAGTTACTCAGCTGTGATTCGTCCTGGTGTAAATTTAGCATGATGTTGCACCAGTCAAATTGCTGTGTATCATACCCTGTATGTTATGACAACATAATGCATGTCATGGCAACATAAAATTTGATGTATTTGTGACTGCTGCAGTCTACATTGCCTTTCTGCTTATTGCACTCTTGTGCAAGCAGTATATTACATTCAGAATTGTCATATGCATAGGTCTTGGTGCTGCTGGAAAGTACGTGCTAAATCTATGTGCCTTTTTCATTTTGTCTTGCTTCCCATAAAATATGATCATTTCACAGTATATAGCATTGTTGAAGGGCTGTAGACAACTGTAAAATATTTTACATAGAAAAAGATGATTTTTAAACTGAAAAGAAGGGGTCATCATTGAATTCATGGTCAGAAAAGATTTACAGATACTAAGGATTTCAATAAGCCAAACTTACAGAATGTAAACTAACAAACAAATACAAAACAGATTGAATGTAATACTAAAGATATAGCTCAATGTCAAACACACATTTAAAGCTGTACTTACATATAAATCAAAATATTTACATACTCATTTGAAGTATGTAAGTATTGTGTCATACATTGAGCACAAACAGAACTTGAACAGTATTAACTAAACAAAACAAAAACATATTCTAAACCCTTTATAGAAAAGTTCTTTCTTCTATGTGAGAGAAGGATGGGCTTCGTAAATATAATAAATTTTCACAATAAGATACTGCAAAAATATTTTTACAAAAGCAAAAACAACACAAATACATGAAGCTACAGCTCTTGTATATAGAAAGAAATATTCTATTAAATCTACATGAACTGATCTGGATATAACACTATATTTAAATAATCAAACTGTCTTGGGATCAGAAAGAGTTTCATAATAGGTATCTTAATTATTTAAGTCAGGGTCATGTTGACAAACTGTCAAACTGCCAGTTAGGTTCAAAGATGTTTCTTTAGAGAGACAGAAGGTTTTATGATCACCATTCAAGACCAGGTCAATATACAAATTACAGAAAACATATCTTAAGACACAAGATTTACAGATGACACTTTGTAGGAAACGAATGCCACATCATATATGAAACTGAATTATGCAAGAAATGATATTACTGTATATTGCAAGTAGTCTATACATTCAATTATATTGTACATACAGATTATAGTACTTACATTTGGCATAACCAAACTTAACACATGAAAATTTTATGCACAGTTATAAATTATTAGAGCCTGCTATTATTCTATGAATACATACTTCAGCCAGTCTGGAAAATAGCATATACAATTTCAGGAGTTGCTCTAGAAAATTTAAAAATATTGCCATCATTTTGCCAGTTTTAAATTTTTTCATCACTTCAAATTATTTATCACCATTAGTTTTATTTACTAATTAATGCAGGTGCTGGTAACTTTATCAGTTTGGCATCTGGAAAGCAAAAGTAACAGGTTAAATAGATTTTAAACATTGATTTGTTTGTAAATATAACTTATCTATTTACTTGTAATCATGTTTGGTTAAAATAAACCATATTAGATGATGTAATAATAAATTTATAATTTATTACCAAATTACATGCAATTAATCATATTTCTGAAATTCTGAATGAATCAATTCAGATTATGCTGACAAAACTATGTCACATTATTGGGATAATTCTTAAGAAAAGCTGAAAAGTTCACAATTACAAGATCAGATCATAGTACAAATCATCCAACAATAACATCTAAAACTGTTTGTGGTGCTATCTGTTGTATAAATGTTTTTAAAATAAAATATTATTATAATTATTAAATGGCAAAAAGCTTAATTTTGTGGGTAGGGATGAGTTTTATAAAAAAAAAATTATAAATGTTAATAACAAATAAAATCTTAAGTCCAACCTTATTTGAGATGTGACATATGATCCTACTCCATCTTCCATCCTTTCAACCTTTTATCATTGAAATTTAATAATATTAATCTCCCTAATATACAAAATTTCAGAAATTTCAACAAAAGACACAGGAGTCATTAAGCTTGAAAGTGGGTGAACAAAATTGTGTCAGACATTCATGCACACAGAGACAAACATTCATACACAGAGAAAAAAAACCCAAATGTTTTGCATTTCTTAATGTTTCATGTCCAGAGTCCAAAAATATAAAAATCTTGAGATAATTTTTTGACTGGCCACTGTACTTTGTTATATATAACAGCCAAGAAAGTAAAAATTACAAAAAATATATATTAAAAGTTTATTTGATAACTAAAGAAACAGTTCTATGATCATTTTCAAGATTTAAACGAGGTTTCGGATGATAAATTCTTTCAAAATCCTTTTAAAGATTAGTAACAAATGGGAATATTGTTTGCCAGCCACCATTTATTTAGTTTGATATTGCCTTTTTCGCACTTAATCATTTTTTCAGGATTCCTATTGATCCTTCGAGGATACCATAGCAGCAGGAAATCCTAACGGTCGTAATCATGTCAATAGACCTTCTCTGCAACTTAATTCTTTGAGAGGATTAATAAACTTTTACAAAAGAATAACAGTATGGTACCTATATAATGGACTATGTGGAAAAAGTCACTCAGCACTGAGCCTGAAAAGTCCATTGCGCCGATATAGACCGGAAGCAGAGAGATGGGGACTAACCTATCCTGTACCTCGTCTACCTGAAGATTTATGGGATTAGTTATAGCTTCTTCAATTATGCCACGTAATACAGAATACCATGGGAAGGTACCTCATAACACTTCTTGATTTGTAAAATTAGATCATATTCCACTGTAATCTGATCAGGCTCGCTCTATGGAAATTAAAATAATGGAAGACAGCGAACTGATTAAAGATCAATCAGGCCAAACAAATAAAAAAAAACACCGAATAGTCTACTGGTAGTTGGTCACGGGTTCGCGCCTAACCAATGGATTGGCCTTGGTTTTATCCAAGTTTTCTTAAATAAAGACCAGCTTCCCATAAAAAGTCTTCCCTGGAGGCACCTTAGCAGAGCACCCCAAATCTGCCAAGGGGACCTTTCAAAACCAATAAGGAGAGATAAAGGTTTAGTTCTTCATCAATTTTAATTAAATTTACATGATACTCGAAGCGATTGCCTATACAAGCTTCGCATCTATAGATAATAGATCATGATTTAAACCTACACTGTGTAATTGTTGGGGTCTTTGAAGTACTACGTCAGCAGCGGCTTCGTGAATTAATTAATTGATCAGGATTTTGAATTGTAACACAATACCAGGGGCGGACTGGCCATGTGGAAAATGTGGAAAATTCCACACGGGCCGTATACAATTTGGGCCGTTTTTTCTAAATATGTACTGTACATAATGTATCGTATGGTTAAGTTTAATTTTAAAAAATTCATTTATTTTTTTCGTTAAGTAAGGTAAATTTCAATTTTTAGGTGTAATATGTGTAGGCCTGTATTTTATCTGGCCCTACCCGTATCGGANAAATAAAATATTATTATAATTATTAAATGGCAAAAAGCTTAATTTTGTGGGTAGGGATGAGTTTTATAAAAAAAAAATTATAAATGTTAATAACAAATAAAATCTTAAGTCCAACCTTATTTGAGATGTGACATATGATCCTACTCCATCTTCCATCCTTTCAACCTTTTATCATTGAAATTTAATAATATTAATCTCCCTAATATACAAAATTTCAGAAATTTCAACAAAAGACACAGGAGTCATTAAGCTTGAAAGTGGGTGAACAAAATTGTGTCAGACATTCATGCACACAGAGACAAACATTCATACACAGAGAAAAAAAACCCAAATGTTTTGCATTTCTTAATGTTTCATGTCCAGAGTCCAAAAATATAAAAATCTTGAGATAATTTTTTGACTGGCCACTGTACTTTGTTATATATAACAGCCAAGAAAGTAAAAATTACAAAAAATATATATTAAAAGACACAATACTTGCTTGAAGCATTCGTCTATTGTTTGTATGTGATACAATATAAAAGTGCATGACATACACAAATTATTTACATAGATATAATCAAATAAAAAACATAATATCTTAAAAGCTTACATGAAACTTCAAATTATTACACAATCAACTATCATACTATAAACAAATGCCATGAGAATACTAGAAAGCTACTCACAAGAAATATACTATGACAACCATAAAACAATTTATCTCAAAAGAATATACATCATAGTTTTACCAAATATCTGCAATATACAAAATATACTAATAAAATTAATAAACAAATAAACTTATCCAAGAAATAAAATGCTTATGGGAAATGGATAACATATTACAGTAATACCCCAAACTTACGCGATAGGTGGGACCAAGCGATAACCGCATAAGTCGGGGTATAATTTTGCAATTTGTGTAAAATCCAAATCGAATGTATGTAAGCCAGTAAATATTCTCGCTAATCTTATCTTGTCTTTTGATTCATTCACGTTTACAAGAAATCACCACATAGAGTCCGTCAAGTCACCGTAGATATAACAAACATAGAAATAAATAACACAAAACAAATTGTACCTATATGTCGATTCCGCGCTACACGTCCGAACATGTAAGCTAAACAATAGTTTGGGAGGAGTGAGTAATCATGAGTTGTGTGGCGCTCAAACAACAGACGAATCGACAAGATTTGAAAATCACGTAACTCCGGGTGTGCGTAAGTCGAGGTATTACACTTAATTTAATCTTTTTACACAAGGGCCAAATCCCACAAACTATACATAAAAATCTAAAACCATTATATCTTAATCATAATAATTATATTATATTGCAGAAAGCAGCAATATTAAGTATTTATATCATATAATTGGGAACTTTTTAAACATAGCTGTCAACACACAAACAAAACAGTTGCTTTTAGTAGCTATATCTTAACTTGAATTTAATAATCTTCTTACATGAATACTGGAATGCATATAAATTAACACTTATAAACCTTAAAAGTTCAGTAGTAAATATTTAATAGAAAACAAATGCTTTTGACCATACTTTTGGTCTTAGGGTTTAAAAAACCAGTGAGATTTGAGCAAGTGAATGCGTAGAACAAAAATTATGAAATTATTTTCAAAAAATGGAACAGCACAAACGGATTTTAAAAGAATAAACTGTATGCAATCTTAGTATTAGTATGGGAGGCAATCTCTCTGTAAATGGTTGAGTACAACCACCACCTCAACTCCATTTACAGAGAGATTGCCTCCCATACTAATACTAAGATTGCATACAAGAGGCCCAGCACTGTATATGGACTACTCTGCAGTGGCAAAGACAAGATCAATAAAAAGCAAGCACCAGGTGTTTACATTGTTCCTCTCTGGGACAACAGATTTCAAAGGGAATTAGTTTATATCAGGTCCACAAAACGCTCTCTGAATAAAAGATTGCAGGAACACAAATACGACATCATTAATAAAAGGCACACCACTGCCCTATCAACATATGCCACTGACCTCGGCATAAGAGCAAAACTGCTCAACACGAGGTTAAACTGATCAAACTTTCTCACCGTGTGGAACACCTATGAAACCTGGAGGCACTTGAAATTTACAAAGCCAGGTTATGTACCAATTGCATTAACTCTAATGATGTCATCAATGTGTCGCACACTTGGAAGTACTGCTATGAAGGAATGGGCAACGCCCCCACCAGCAGTTAGAAACCACACCCCCGTTTGGTTTATTTTTATATCAGTGTATGTATTACATATACCATTCCATCACCATGGCAATGCACATGCATAGCTGTTTATTCTTTTAAAATCCATTTGTGCTGTTCCATTTTTTGAAAATAATTTCATAATTTTTGTTTTACGCATTCACTTGCTCGAATCTCACTGGTTTTTTAAACCCGAAGAAGACCGAAAGTATGGTCGAAAGCGTTTGTTTTCTATTAAATATTTACTACTGGACTTTTACGGTTTATGATTGTTAATTTATGCTATATCTTAATTTTGGTCATTCTGTATTTTAATTTTATAACAATAATAATGCTATATTTTAAAATATTTTATAGATTGTTTTCAGAAATTGTAATGAATTCAATTAAATTATTCTTTTGATTTAGATTGGTTGCTGTCAAAGGAGTTATATCGTGTAAGTATTGTCATAACGGATAATAATACATTAGAAACTTTAGAACGTTGGGAATTTAAAATTGAAAGTGATGATGCTCTAACCAAAGATGGGTAAGTAGTATTTATAAATATATTTTATTAAATCTATTACATTAGTTTTGTGAAATTTAGCAATTTATTTTTAATAATTTAATCAGACACTATAACGATATTACTTTGAAAATCTGTATATGTACAGTCGACCTCCCTATAATACTGTTGATAATTCCGTTTTATATGAATTCATGTTGTACGAGTCACTTAGATTTTACAAATTCGTGAGCCGTTCACAGCCCGGCACATGTATTTGTAAAATCTAAGTGACTCGTAGAACATGGAATTCATATAAAACGGAATTATCAACAGTGTTATAGGGGGATCGAATGTACTAATTTTGATTTAAGAAATTATACTAAATAAATTGAAAGAAATATAGTATTTTGATTTAGTTCTATACAGTATAAGCAAGATTTTACAATTTTTTTTTATTAGTTTTTATTAAATGATGATTAACACAGTTAATCTTGCTATTCTAATGATATTTTTCTTAATAAAGCAAAACTGTTTTATTGGAACAATAAGAAATTTGTATAGTTGTATCTTATTGATTCATTTGTATGGACATAAAGATGAATGATTGTAAGGATTTCATAATTTTTATTTAACCCATATAATAATTTTGCTAATATTAGTATCAATAATAAAAACTCTTGATAAAACTATTATAATTGCATATAATTTGGCAATTGGCAATGATTATAAATTTATTATTACATCAGCTGTTTTTATTATCTAATCTACTTATCTGGTTTATTTTAATTGAACATATTACAAACAAATCAATGTTTAAAGTCTATTTCACAATTAAAGATTAAAAAAAAAACTAGAAATTATTAAGAGATTAAAAAAAATTACTTTATTGAAACCGAATAAAAATGAAATTTTTCAAGTACCTTTTGGATAATTAATCCCATCTTCAAAAGAATCCAGTATTAAAATACAAATGTTAATCAAAAGCTTTTATTTAGTGTTCACAGATATTTGAAAATAACTAAGAACTATTTTCTACTGAAAATGGGCTTGATTGTTGAAAAATTCTTGAAAAGTTTCTTTAGCTTTAGTTTTGTTTGACTCCGTTAAAACAGAATAGTTTTTTTAGTTGTTTCAATCATCCAATTATGTAATGCCAGATTTCTCCTTCCTCTTATAAAGTTTATTTTTTATAGTAATAGTAAATGAACTTATAAATTATGACTTTGCTTCTTGTTAATATAATGTCAAAGACATGAATTTAGACTATTCAGGCAGTGTCTTCACTTGTCCTTTATTACAGAAGGAACTAATCTAAAGCACACTGAGATTTGACCTTTTATTTGAGACTACAATCTCAGTAAATTATGTAAGACAAAATGTCCACTGATAATTGGATAATGTAGGTTGTTCTGTTCAAAAGTATTCAATTTGATTTGGCTATAAAAACTTATTAGTGGTTAAAGATAAGTTTACAAACAATTTTATGAGAGAAAAACTCACCAATGACTGCTGGAATGCACAGAGATGTGCATTCCAGCAGTCATGGTGAAAACAAGGTGATAGGCAATTTCCTGCTATATATACTGCAACATTTTCTGTCTCACAGCGGTAATGGCTATGATGACGCACTCCTGAAGAGCCTGAAGGTCTTCGACCAAAGTAGCATAAACTATATCTTTCCCATAACCCCACAGAAAGAAATCTAAGGGAGTCAGATCGGGAGATCTTAGTGGCCATGCTATTGGACATAGCAGACCATGTCTTTTGCTTTAGCCTGTGGTGAAGCCACGACTGGACAGTAATGAACATGATTTGACTTCTACGCCATCTTGCAGTACAAAAACATCTCTATAAAACTTGATAAGTTTCCCACCAGATGCCACTTGTTACTTTTATGTATATTAAATTGTTCATTTTTTATGGCAAATTAAAATTTGGTACTTTCGAGCAGCACATCCTGTATTGTAAAAATAAATGTATATCATTTTAAGATATAATGCTGTTTAATCTTCGTATTAATTACATTATTGTAATGAAAAAGTAAATATATTTATAATTTTCTTTTGAAACTTCTTTAACTCGACAAACATTTATTGATATATTGCTAATCGTGTTTGCTTAATTAAACAATCAAATCTCATTCCAATTATTCTGAAAGCAAATGTTTAAAAATTTTTTTTATTTTGTGATAAAACTCCTTATTCTGAATAACATTTTTTCTATATCTGGATAATTTTATTAATTACGACATTCGGTATTGAGTTATAATACCAAACTATATTGCTAATCCGATTGCCATCGTCGTTATACTCTTAAAATGTTAATATAATCTTTGACTTTAAAGTTTATTTTTTTTTTTAGTACAGTTAAAATTGATTTTATGGTATGATTATAAAATTTACCATAAAATAATAAAACTAAAAACTATAAATAATGAAAGTAAATCACTATTATCTATCATCATATATTCCTAATTAAAATTTATAATTCACAATACTTTGATGTTTTACTTTTTTAATTTCTACATTTAATAATTGCATAGAATTAAGATTATAAAATATTAAATATTAGCACGAAATATCAATTTTGAAATGTAAATTATCTGAAAATGTAAGTAAGGTACATCAAATTTTTTTATTTTTTATTAAAATATTATATATTAAAGTTCGAAATTTCAAGATTATATTGTATATTTGGAGATAAGATAAATGTAAAATAAAAATTGATTAGTTTTATCAAAATGATATTATAAAGAAGCTATACAACTATATTATTATTTAAAAAATAATTTGTATTTTATTATCATATACTGTAGTATATGTAAACTCTTGAAACTAATACATAATTAGGATAGTTTTACATATGATTTTATGACTTAGTATAATTTAGCATACACCCCCCCTATAACACTGTTGATTATTCTGTTTTACATGAATTCCATGTTGTACGAGTCACTTAGCTTTTACAAATACATGAGCCATTCACAGCCCGGCACACGTATTTGTAAAATCTAAGTGACTCGTACAACATGGAATTCATATAAAACGGAATAATCAACAGTGTTATATGGGGTCAACTGTATTTTCTTTTGTTGTCAAATGTTTAAATACTGTATGTTAATAAAATTGAATAAAAAAGAGAAGTTATACAGAACAGTTTTGTAATATGATAATTTTTTTTTCTTTTATTTATTGCCAATGTATTTAATATATACTATTAGAACTTAATAAAAGCTGGCGAGATATAGGGAAATGTTTGTTTGGAAAATTATTCTTTTAAAACTTTTTCTTATTTTAGATATATTTTTTCCAATTATATGTTTGGCACTCTCTCAAAAGACTTATAATGGCAATGGATAAAATTCAGTCCGGCAAGTAATCTGTATTACATCAGTGTAATAGCATAGTTTGGATGAAAAATCACAATTTAATTTACGAGCAGTAATTGAAAATGAAGCTGTATCATTTAAAAATAGTTTTTTTGGACTAACAAACAAACAATTGTTTTTTTATGATAAATTTTTTAGTTTTAATTTTGTTACGTAATTTTGTAAAATTATTATATGTATATATATATTTTTTTTTTCAATAGGAAACCAAAGCAGAAAGATATCAAGGAAATTCAGAAAGAGATTAGAGATATTATACGGCAAATTACAGCTAGTATAACTTTTTTACCTTTATTAGATAATCCATGTGAGTATAAGTTAATATAAAGTCTATAAAACATTAAAGAATTTTGAACAAGTTTGTCTCTATATAGATTTTACAGTACTTATGATTTAATATTTTCTATTATATTTATACTAGCAGATAGGCCCGGCGTTGCTTGGGCAAAAAGTAACGATAGCGAAGATTAAGATTATTACGTTATAGTCAATCTTATCCATTTTCAAAGAATGCAAGAATTAGGTCCCCCTGTTTCCAGACTAATTAGAGAATTTTTAGATGGGTTAAAAAATGTTTGCTTTCCCGCAAAAATGAAAAAACTGCATCTGTGTCTGTAAATTTTGCCCGTCGCTTTCTCTTAACACTTCCCCACGAGTAGTAGTGTTAACAACCTCACCTCTGCTGGTGGAATTTCGAAAAATCCCTTCTTAGTGTATACAGTTGATCCCCCCATAACACTGTTGATTATTCCGTTTTATATGAATTCCATGTTGTATGAGTCACTTAGATTTTACAAATACGTGTGCCGGGCTGTGAATGGCTCACGTATTTGTAAAATCTAAGTGACTTGTACAACATGGAATTCATATAAAATGGAATAATCAACAGTGTTATAGGGAGTCGACTGTATTCTCGTGATATACCCTATTAAAACGCAAAAAACTGCATTTGCACCTGTAAATCTTGCATGTTGCTTTCTCTTAACACTTCCATTGTTAAAACTTCCATTGTTGAACTTCCTTTCTTAACACTTCCATTGTCGAAACCTTAATCCTGTCCCTCTCTCTGGGGGAAATTTCAAAAAATTCTTTCTTAGTGTGCGTTTTTTTGACGAATCCTAACTGTGTACCAAATTTCAACTTTCAACGCCTAACCGTTTGGGCTTTGCACTTATTATTATTATTGTTGTTATGTTAGGTTTTGTGAGTTATACTCGGTTCACACCAGTGGCTGTGTACTATGCCGAACCAGAGTCAAGGCATAGCAACCAAAACAAAACTAAAATTAAATAAGTGTGTCAGTGTGTGTGTCTGTATTTAGGAATTTCCTAACAATGTGGCATGTATGCAATATAGTGGCCTTCTGTAGTGTGATGTATGTATTTCTACTCAATTGTAATGTTCCCAGGCTTTTGTGTAGTGTGTGTGGTATCACACCTGTACAGGAGAGAACGACAGGTACAATAAGCATTATTATTATTATTATTAACCCATCTTGATTATATATATAGATACAATAGACATTTTATCATTACTGAGTATAAATACTATCATTCTTAATGGAAATTTAAAGAATATAAGTAGAATATGCTTGCAAAAATGATAAGTAGATTAAAATAAATACTCACTGAAATATTTTACTGCAAAAATTTTTTTTACAAACTTATAAATACATATGGTGGTGATTATTCAAATAATAATGTTTGTAAACTCTTCTATGACAATTAAGGGTTACAGTTAGTTAACCATTTACCCATTCACCTTATGTTTATTATATGAACATTTATTAGTTGGCTTCTTAACTCTTGATCCTTGGTTTTGAATATGGGTTATTAAGCTTTATGAATAAAGAATATATGTAATAACTCAGTTAAAATCTAATAACATCTTGAGAATTTTGAATTTACAAAAGAAATTATTTTAAAATGTACACATCAAATTTAATAATAACTAATGATTTTATCCTAATTTTTACTTCATGCAGTCTCTAACTTATTAATTTTTTAAAGATAGTAGAAAATTTAAATTAAAAACTTTTAGAGCAACTTTGTATTGTAGGTGAAACAGTAGTTTTATTTAATCCTTTTGTAACTAATGACTCCATAGATATATGTCAATTCTATTCTTTGAACTTTTTGTGGATCTGAAGATGAAATGTGAATCATCTTGAAAAGCATTCTATTGCAATAATAGGTGATTCCTTAAAGGGATTTATCACAAGTAGAAGAAATAGTAAATTGAAACATAAAAGTGTCTTTGTTTTCTTGCCCTTCACATCTGTGGGATCCAACAGTAGTCTGAGAGAGCTTTGACAATTTCAACTTTTTTATCGATGCTCTCATTTGCCTTGTTAGGCAAAATTTATTGAAAATCCTCGTAATTGTAAAATTACATTTATTTAATTTCTTAATATTTGTAATGTTTTCAGTTATTAGATTTTTATTTTAAACTTAAATAAGTTTAATAATTTTGTCTTTTATAAATGATATTGACACTTAAAAAAAATCTAGTGGTTTTCTTATGTTTCATATTTGTTTTATATGTAAGTTCATTTTGTAATTTTAATTTCACATAATTCACTTACATATGTAGTTAAACTATAAATAATGATATTTTTACTTGATGTTCTTTAACTTTAGAATTACAAAAGTACTCTGTTACATTACTAATATTACCTAACCTAATTCTCTTCCATTATCGAAAAATTCTCATCATCTGGATGAATGTATGATTGGGAAATTTACTATACACAACAGTATATGAAGTTTAACTAAAGAGTTTTATTACATTATGTACCACATTAATGAACAGTACTAAAAATAGTTAGATATCACAAAGAGCTTATAGAGGTTTCAGGTAGCCATGAAGAATGATCAAATGATCTGTTTACTGTTGTACAGGTGGACTAAAAACTGATATTGCCAGCATTGCCAGACAGCCTTCTCTATAACAGAATGCCACTAATATGTAGATATCTTTCTCATTTGCTGTACAATTCTGTCCTTTAAATCTACTAAGCACAGTGATATATCAGGATTTTGAGAATGTGGGTGCTGCTTAAGGCAGATTAGAGGGAAATCAGGTCGTGCGCCTCTCATTTTTCAGAGAATGTTACTTACTTTAGAATTACTTTATCATAAAAAATTGCTTTTCTTCATCTGCTTTTGGTTTTGGTTTGCTTTTGGTTTCATCAAAGTATTTAAAAGTTTTTTTTCTATTGAAAGCAATGCTAGTGATGACGAGTTTTCCTCCGACTGAGTGTTCCTTGCAAATATATCAATTTGCTTCATTGTTGAAAAACTGCACTCAACAGATACACTAGTAGATGGTACCATAAGAATTAATGATATTAAATCATATAATTCTTTTAGTACGTGTTTGTTCAGATCAATGTTAATATTTTTTATGTCTAAGTGACTTGCCAATATAGGCTGGACATGAATATAAACATTGCAATTCACTATGTAATTTAGATAAATCAAAAAATTTTCCGTAAAATTTACTTACTTTTAAAGAATTAAAACATGCTTTGGAAAATTGTTTTTTCATAATATTTGAAATGATTAACACCTAAAAGTGATAAAAATTCTAAAGATTTTAATTGAAAATCTGTAAATGTACATAAAAATAACATAAAATTTCCTTTACTTTTTAAATCTTAAAACAATGGCTCCCTACCAGTAGCTATGGATAGAATCATTGGAAGCGTTATACAATATTTTGGTGTGTAGCATCCACCACCTAAACCACAAGAGGTTGGTGCTCTGTAAAATGCATGCACAAATGCCTGTACTCTGGCTGCTTTACACCATTCAAATATTTTCACCATGGAAGCTGTCCCGTATTCGACAATACGGCACTTCCATTGGGAATATGCACATACGAATTTATATTCGAATATACAATAGCAATTTTATCATTGTTTTTCGCGTGTATAGAAATTTGTAATAAAATACATAATGAGGTTATAATAAAATATTAATTTTAAGTAATTGAAAGTACATTAAAACATGAAAATAATTGCATGATATGTATTTATATTTTAGAAAATATAAGGAAAGAGGCACTTCTACAGCTTCCATGGACGACACGCACTGCTTTATATATATATATCTGTACTTGTGAAATGCTTCAGGACTGTTTTTTACTCATCTGATAGAATAACTTTGAATAAAACATATTCTGGCAAAATGAGATCCATTGCCATCATCAACTCATTATGACCCAATCTTTTATCTCTATTTTCTATCAGGTTACATGGCTTATGCAATATGTAAATTTCATTATTTTTTTCCATTTAGTACCATATTTTATTTTATTTGTAAGTATTTGAAGTATTTTTATTGCCAAATATCTTTTCTCACAATCTAGAAAGTGTGCACACAACAAAGTCTGGAAGAATTTTGTCCTCTTTGCAGATTGCTCAGAATAAAGATACTGTACTTGAATTAAATATTATAATATATTTATATATTTACTTGTTTAATTTCTTACCAATAAACATTTAAAATCACATATTCTGAACCAATTATGGTGTGTAGATGTTTCGTCATTTACACACCATAACACATGGAGCGACATTCGTTACATCAGTAAATAGCCTCTGCAAAAGGATGCAGAGACTGTTTTCTTCTATCTACATAAAAGAAAATATTCTTAATTATAAATGAAATATAGTATTATGTAGGTGTGTGTTGGTATCAAAATAACTAGAAACTGATTTGAGTGGAGATAGTAGTATTGAAAGAACAGGGAACAAAATATATTTGTTCACTGCTCTTTCAAGCAAATGCTTGCTTGATTAAGCTGCGTTAAACTGTATTGATTTTTCAAGTAGTTAGTTTAATAAAACATACTGATTAATGTAAAATCTTGAGATACAAAACAATCTGCAAGATTTTTCATTGACCTATATTTAGCTGAATCCAGCAGATCAGTTGGTACTACAAGTGTATTTGGTTGTAGGCCCTATATGTTATTAAAATCTTCAGGTTTGTAAATTATCTTATTAAATTATATATTTCAGAAAACCTTATCCAAAACTGAATTAAAATATCTATAATTAGATATATACAGTAAAACCTGTGTAAACAGGAATTGACCAGTACTGAATATTCTTTCCAGTTTGGAAGATTTCCGTTTCGAACAGGTGTCTTTTAACACAGATAATGGCTTCATTGGGAAGAATTTCTTTCCATTTAGGTTTCTTTTTTCTTTTATTCAGATTTTCTTTTGGACAAGTTTACTGTATATTTGTATATGTACAGTATCAAGTATTATAAATTAATCAGATTATTATTTGATTTTAAAAAATGTTAATTTTGTAATTTTGTTTTATCTTAAAGGTTCCTTCGACATTCATCTGTACACGCACAAAAATACCAAAGTGCCGGATAAGTGGGCCGACACCGTTCCCGGCGAAATAGCCAATTCTCAGAGAGTGCGTCTTCGAAGTTTTTCCACCACCGTACACAAAGTGGACGCTTGCGTATTCTATAGAGGTTGTGAATAATATCATATTAACAAGAAGAGAAGCTGACAAATGCACAAATTTTTATTCTAAGTTTATACACAATTTTATGAGTTTCCGTGTATATTGATAGTATAGAATTCATTCAGATGTGTAGATTTCTTTTATACATCATATTTTTAATCAAATACATTTCTGTACTATAGTTTATATTATTTTTCATGCATGCATGTGTCAATTTATCTATATGTTAACACTTTTTTCACTGTACAGTTATGTTTTTTTGGATTAAAATTCTTATAAATTACTTTCCGAAGTAACTATTATTATGTTATGGTTTTAATGTATCATATGATAAGGTGATTAAAAATTGAAGCAATTTAATAACAGTTATTTAATTATTTCAGTATTTGTATAATTATAGCTAGTGATTCTGTTTCTTCTTTCAATGAATGCTTTACAATCTTGATGAAAAAAATATAGAATTTTATTCAAAACTTAATATTTTTATATACAAAGCACTATATTTTAAGGTGATTAAATTAAATATTTATATTTTTCACTTAGAATTTTGATAAAATTAATTCAAATTCTGGTGGAAGTGGGCAGTTAAAGTGAATTTGTGTATTAAACAGCTCAAATACATGATACAGTTTTCTATACATCATTAGATTTTTTTCTGTATTTATTTAATATTAACTAATGTACACTTAAGAAAACTGAATTTTAAAATTGTTTTTATTAAAAATAGAGCACTAAACATCTATCTAACCACTAAACAAGTATCACAAAGTTATCAAATATGCAAAAAAAAAAAGTGGAAAGCTTTTTCATGCCATGTCAAACCATGAACATTTGTTACTGTGTAACAAAAAAGACTTTAATTTCACAATCACAAGGAGGATGGTTGGTCGGTAATATAGCTACAAAAGATTTGTGTCTACATACTATGGATCATTAACTACCTCTATACATTCAGAGATGACCAAGGCACCAGCTGTGGGAGGTGGGAACACTGGGTGCACCACGTGGCCGCATGGTATTTCTTTATGACTTGGCCACTCCTAATATTATTCTACCAACTGCTGCCTCGGGCCCGACAGAAATTTGTTAGTAATTGTTAGCTACCTGCACGGCATACTATTAAATTACCTTCACTCGATTTTGCTCTCTTCCCTCCCGTCGATGCATTTTATTTATTTAACAAGAAAGATTTTCGTATGGTTAGATACAATGCGGGAGGTTCTCAATTAGCAGGTAATTTGTTTAATGCCCGACCCCGTTCCAATCTGAAGGATTAAGTGGAAGAGTATTGATTTGTTATAAGCCGAGATTAACTGGTGAACCGTCGTCGTCGTGTCGTCGTCCTGCGATTAATGCATCGAAGTAGAGCGCAAAATGGATTTATTTGATCAGTTTTATATGCCTTATAGGGGGGAAAAATGGTTATTCGATTTTTTAATCTAGTAAGTGACATTTTTTAAAATCGTTAAACCGAAGTTTGCGGTTTAATTTAGGGGAAATCATTCATAAATTCTGATTTTTACATTAGTTTAGGAGCTATAACATAATAGTTTTGTTTATAAATCCTGAGTTTTAAATCTAAATTTATGTTTTTTATAAAATTACATTTGTATTTCTATGTTTATTGAATAAAAAAATTGATAATTAAGAACATATTGTATTCATTTTAATTTAAAAAAAAGTATTAATACTTTTATCAAATTAAAGGATATGAAATTTTGCTTACTGTAACCTCTAATCTTTTTAAAGTGTTAAGACCAAATCTTGAAAACTTGTCCCACCTTCTATAGTATAATAGTCAATACCCAAACTATAGAATTTATCAAATGAATATTTATCATTCTCCAACGAAAATATCGAATGGTTTAAGCCCATTTTCTATTCTAATCGCTTGAAAGTTGCTCATTGTATCCTTCCCGAAACACACAGGATTGGCTAATATTTCACACAAATCTTTTCCTACCTAATCTTTAATGATCTCTATCATTGTGTAGACACGGCTCGGGGCTATTGCTGCCAGTTATTGTATTCAGAGGGACGTCCCTCATCAAAAGAGCTGCTCTCGTGGGATGCTAGACTCTAACATGAAATCAGACTCTACTAGACCTGCTACTTGCAACAATTTCTTTCCCTTTTCTATATAGCTGCTGTATTGTTACCATGTTTTCATCTCTAGTTACTAGGCAAGGAGGGAGGGGAGGGGGAAAAAACGGGGAATTTTATTTCTGATTTATTCATTCGAATGGCTACTAGAGTAACCAGGTTACAGACTCGATCCTCCGTGCCCAACTTTTAATGTGTTTAACAATATGCAAGGGTATTAAACGCGTAACGTTAATCTGTTGTTAAAGATTCACCCGGACGAATTTGACATTTTTCATGGACAATGTTTGTGTCGTTAAAAGTACACAATTCTATACATGACTAAGACAATTTATGTATTTCCGGGACATCCCTATCACCTCCTATTGTGTTTGTAACAATGGATAGTGTCAAGCATTTTGAATGATGAGCCGGGACGATTTTTTTTTTCTTTTACAAAGTCCAGTTACAATGTCCTCTATACAGATTGCCCTTGCAAAGACACCGTTGGATGTCCTTGCTCTCTTTCAAAACCTCACCTTTGAATATTCAAATATGACTTCTACTATTATGCACCCCCCATTTTTACAATTATTTGAATTTCCTCCTGTAAATATCGAATTTTTAAAAAGAAGCTCGGTTTCTATAAACGAAATTAAAACACCGGAACCACTTAACAAACCGTTATTTGTTTTTAATCTCAAGATTTTCGATGGTTAGGCATTCATGACGTATGAATCACGATTGATTGGAATTTGGCCACCACCAACGACCTATAGAGATCAACTAAATAGTAGATTGTTGTGTCACGTGCTTCTAATTAGATTTTCATGTCCCACGTGTTGGCGGTGACGTCAGAAGGCCAGCTGGGTCCCCTTTTAGCTCAGCAGGGTGGCCCAACATGCCGCATAACAAGTTGTCCTAGTAGAAGGGACCGTCTAATTTCCCCAACGTATTGTATTATAGCAAACAATTTGAAGTGCAAACTGCAACGATGCACATTAGCAATTTTTTTTTTTTACTTTTAACTCTAGCAAAGCGAATGATATTCGGTTATTAAGCAATTAGAAACGGCTAACGGGCGCGATGCAATTCTAATGTGTACATAGATTTTTCGCTCGTTAAGGAACAAAAAAATATGCAATTTTTATAGAAATGCGCTAATAGGAAGAGGTTTTTAAACGCAAATTTATCTTTCTATGGTAAGTGCACAATAAAACAGTAATTAGTAGAGCGTGGTTGATTATGCAAACCAATCGGGACACTAAACAGTCACCGCTGTGTAAAAGGGACCGAATTAGGCGAGTCCATCTTCACACCTGCGTGTAGTCCATTGTGGATTTTAAATCCCTTCTCCCGAACCCCCAAATCTTCATCAATAGGTCTCTAATCTCACTCGAGTCCCCCCTTTAGGCCGGCTGACACAAAACCATTTTAAATTTGTTTCCAGCTATCAATATAAGAACTACTAGAACACACCCTCATTCTGGCCAAGTGGCCACTCGGTTTGATGCCAGACAATAGTTAATCCCGATGGCTACCACCGAGTAATATAATTACTGCGGTAAAGAAATTTGTTCCTGTAACAAAGACACTTATTTTTAGGAAGGACCAATACAAAGTCAATCGCATGTGCATAAAGTTCACAGATGTGTGCAATATCGTTATTAAAACTCGTTTGCAGATTATTTATTACGTTGTTTAAATTATTTAAAAAAAAAAAAAATCCATTTAAAAGCTTTCGTAAGATTATTGCAAACGAAATTTTATGAAGTTCTCCGATAAAATAAATGGGGGACTTCAGGAGGATTCTGTATATTTTTAAAGTGGAGTGAATTGTTTATTTGTTTTAAATAAAATTAAAAAATAAGCAATACGTGTAAATTGTTTTTTTCCTACTAAACTTCTTCGTATAATAGCAAATACGTCCGAAAAATTCGGTTTTAGGCCCTACAATATGTATAAAGTTACGTAGAAAATCAAACTCTGTTTGTAAACTGTTAGAAAATAACACCGCGATTCTTGATAAAGCTGAATTTATGTGCTTTTTTGTGTGGCTAGAGAAAGGATGCGAAGTCTTTTATAACCTCATAAAAATAACAGAAGCAGTTATTCAAAAATTTTCTATACAAAGGAGAAAAAATGAAGTGTATCATCTACTACAATAGCAATTTCCTGGATTCAGTTAAAAAATCAAAGGTTTCGTATTTAAAAAAGGGGGGTAAGTTTGACCAATCTAAACGATTGTAAGAGTCAATGTTATCTCAACCTGTTAGCCTCAGTCTTTGTGAAGAATCGAAATGGGAGGAAGCAAAGCGAATGGTCCCACTGAGCGAATCTAATCGATAAATGTAGGGTGAATATGGACAGTAGCAACGTATACGAAAGGAATTCCCGACTGACAGACAGTAAAAATAACAGGAATGCTGATATATATATACAATATATGTGTATATGATTGAGGCGCACGGGGGTATACGTCGGGAGTAGGTGCTGTCGGAAATGTCGTCTTGTAACCAAACAGGACGTCGTGCTTTGGTTGTTGCGGCATACAAAAGAAGTAGACGTTGTAGCAGTGCCGAGGGAACAACGGTGAATGTATTGAACGTGGACAGCCGAGTGGAAACTACGCTGTACCCTATTCTCCAACGGGGAAACGGGAGTAACTATTGTAACAGCCTTTGTTAACTTGTTACAAACCATCAATTTGTCGTAGATTTTTAAGCGGCGGATCAATTTTCTTTTTTTTAATCGTCTGCACCGGGTTATGGCTTTAAAATTCCAAATAAATCAGAAAATATCACGTAAACTGTGATAAGATACGATGGAAGAGGAAGGCTCTTGAAATCACTCGGTGGTATCTCGACTTTAACTTACGTGCACCTACTACAACGAAGTGTAACGAAGATATTTCGGTGTTTAGTACGAATTACACTATTTTAAAGTCTTCCTGAGAGATCGAACCTGGTAATAAATATGAATCATAAAGTATAATTATCGTTTCTAACAGGAAAATCGAGCGCCATTTTTTCTGATATTGCCTAAAGGGAGTGAGTGTCGATTAGCATTATCAGTAATTATATCGATTCGCCTGTTTTACATGAAGAACAGTAGCTATGATGTGTTTGGATAAATGTACGTGACTTCGACTGTTTAATGGATCATTCGCTATACCTCCGGGCCATAATGTATATAAAGAGCGTTACCATATCGAAATCTACATTTCCATAAACGAAATATATAGATATTTTGGCATAAGAAATAGAGATATTTCAGGGCATGAAGTAGTTTATCAAAAAATTAATGACGCTTAACCACGATGTACATTTTTACCCACCTGGAAGCATCGCACCATTTCGCGTGTCAATCAATCTCGCTATTTTCCCACTGCCTGACTTTACGGGTGATTTACGAAAAATAAAATGGAAAATTACATAGGAATATATGAATAAATAACAATCTTAAATTAAAAATTTAAAGTTAATTCGAGGTAACTCTATATTACGAAAAAAATATATATAAGGAAGATTAATTTACCTGTTGACATTGATGGAGGAGCATCTTCATTATACTTCCATTCATTTTTTTTTCTTCTCTTAATAATTTTTTAATTAGTACCTCTTACAAATGCATCTCTTTATATTATAATACTTTTAAACACGCGTTATTATATATATTATATGAAGAAATTAATCAAAGTTTTAACTAGAACTTTTCTACTATGTTTATACTTAAAGTATAAACATAGTAGAAAATACTTAATATAGTAGAAAAAAACATAGTAGAAAATATAGTAGAAAACATAGTAGAAAATACTTAATATAGTAGAAAACATAGTAGAAAATATAGTAGAAAACATAGTATAAAATACTTAATATAGTAGAAAACACGCTTAATAATAATACTAGGATAATTTCCAGCATCTCTGGGAGATACTAAAGATGCTAGAAATAAGAAATTTTACTCGTGTTTGGCTGAAAATTAATGTAAATATAATAGAAATATTAAATGATAGATACATACACTATATATAAATTTAATATAAAACCTGCTTTAAATGAATCCAAGTCCATTGAAAGATTTTTTAATGGAATCGGATTGATTTGTAGTCCAAGTTTCATCCATTCTGATTGCTTAAGAATTAGTTTATTAAATGGAGACTACTAAAAGAATAAATACAACCCCACTGGCTAGAAAAAAAGGGCACATTATAAGCATTTTCTACCCTTACTAATCACTCCTTTAAAGAGAATCACTAATTTCTAACATCCCTAGGGGGAAGCTTCCGCAGAGATTTTTGTCTTCAAATCATGGCCAGTCACGTGCGTCACTGTCCCCAGTGTTATTGTGACGCTCAGTTCATTTTGTTAATGAGCGAGCTGGTCAGGCAGCGGTGTCAGCTTGCTATCTGTCACTCCCATTGTGTCGAGTGACACCCAGGGAGGCCCACCGGGCCGTCGGGACTCAGTTGGCCACGTGCCTGTCCTGGCCTTAAAGCTAACAGTCTTTTGCTAGTCGTGTTGACTTTTCTAGTCTGCCAAGTGGCGACTTCATTAGCTAGACACTTTTCTCACATAAATTGACGAACCCGATGAAAAGTGAGCAAGAAGAAAAAAGAGACTAAGCGTACGCTCACCTTAACTAAAGTAAATTTCTACCCAAGGCTACCTATTGTGCACTTCGTAATTAGTGGGGCCGTTCAAAAAGAAGCCAAAAAATGGGTATTTTCGTACTAATTTAAACTGCACTTGCTCGGATTCGTGCAAATATGTGAGGAGATCTCGAGAATTCGCGCTTTGTTCCTTTACAAACACGCAGGAGATGAATAAGAAGAATTTTAAACAGCTTTATCCCCTCTATCTCACTGTACAAAAAAATGAATATAGCGGTCCTTTTCAACGGGGGGAATGACTAATTCTTTGTTGAAGCTATTGAAACGTACCTGTTTCTTCGTCTTAAATATTTATATTCAAAATTGCCTCCGTAAGTTACATTTTCAATACACAGGACACACCTTAAAGACTATTTAATACAGCAATTGGTCCACTTATTATCTTATTTCAATCTGTTCATCGTCAATACTAAATTATAAATGGTCTAATTCATTAAATTTGTGGTTAAAACCCTGACATTCCTTTAACAACACGTAGCGTTAGAGCTTTAGAGAACATTTAAGCATACTTTAATCATCTTTACACGCGATTTTTTTATAATTTAGTGACTCATATCCTCTAAATTTTACTATTATATTATGATTTATAATTATTTTAATTGAAAAAAAATACAAAGCAAAGCATAAAAAATATTAAAATATGTTTATTTAGCTATTCATCACATAAGAGATCCTATCAGAATATAGGATTATTATTAACATTTATATACAGTATACATATTAAAATAAATAGAGCTATATGAGACTGTACCCATATAGAAGCTGTACATTAGGTATAATGGATGGAAATTTATCTGTATCACAATAAGCTTTGGTCACAATCGAAGGCTAAAGTATACTTATGCCGTGTTACTACTCGTAATTGTAATGCTACCCGGGGGATAACTATCGAGAGGCATCCAAATTGTGGATGGAAGAACCGGACGGAACATCTTTACTTCCATAGAGTGCCATATTCTCACGATCCTTATTTTCACACATCTTAAGAGTTTCCGATAAAGCCCATATATAATTATGGGCAAACCTGAGAGTTTCTATTTTAGTAAGTTTAGTATCATCGGGGAAGGTCGGTAATACGGTTCTCAATCGATCCAAAGCATCGTTTAACATGTGCATTCGATTTCTTTCTCGATCGTTTGCCTTTAACCTTCTATTTTTCTTGATTTTTATAATGCCAGAAGGGCTTCGGCTTCTCGTGCGAGGTTTGCTGTATCTTTTTCTCCTATTGGNTGTGAGGAGATCTCGAGAATTCGCGCTTTGTTCCTTTACAAACACGCAGGAGATGAATAAGAAGAATTTTAAACAGCTTTATCCCCTCTATCTCACTGTACAAAAAAATGAATATAGCGGTCCTTTTCAACGGGGGGAATGACTAATTCTTTGTTGAAGCTATTGAAACGTACCTGTTTCTTCGTCTTAAATATTTATATTCAAAATTGCCTCCGTAAGTTACATTTTCAATACACAGGACACACCTTAAAGACTATTTAATTCAGCAATTGGTCCACTTATTATCTTATTTCAATCTGTTCATCGTCAATACTAAATTATAAATGGTCTAATTCATTAAATTTGTGGTTAAAACCCTGACATTCCTTTAACAACACGTAGCGTTAGAGCTTTAGAGAACATTTAAGCATACTTTAATCATCTTTACACGCGATTTTTTTATAATTTAGTGACTCATATCCTCTAAATTTTACTATTATATTATGATTTATAATTATTTTAATTGAAAAAAAATACAAAGCAAAGCATAAAAAATATTAAAATATGTTTATTTAGCTATTCATCACATAAGAGATCCTATCAGAATATAGGATTATTATTAACATTTATATACAGTATACATATTAAAATAAATAGAGCTATATGAGACGGTACCCATATAGAAGCTGTACATTAGGTATAATGGATGGAAATTTATCTGTATCACAATAAGCTTTGGTCACAATCGAAGGCTAAAGTATACTTATGCCGTGTTACTACTCGTAATTGTAATGCTACCCGGGGGATAACTATCGAGAGGCATCCAAATTGTGGATGGAAGAACCGGACGGAACATCTTTACTTCCATAGAGTGCCATATTCTCACGATCCTTATTTTCACACATCTTAAGAGTTTCCGATAAAGCCCATATATAATTATGGGCAAACCTGAGAGTTTCTATTTTAGTAAGTTTAGTATCATCGGGGAAGGTCGGTAATACGGTTCTCAATCGATCCAAAGCATCGTTTAACATGTGCATTCGATTTCTTTCTCGATCGTTTGCCTTTAACCTTCTATTTTTCTTGATTTTTATAATGCCAGAAGGGCTTCGGCTTCTCGTGCGAGGTTTGCTGTATCTTTTTCTCCTATTGGTTTCTGTATCCGAGCCATTCGATTTTGAATCTTCGTTGACTATACTCTTTACTGACCACAACATGGGTGAAGCATCGTTGTAGTCGCTAGAACAGCTATCTTCATTGCAAGTGCTTGGAGTAGGGATGGACAGTTGACTGTCTCCTGTCATTGTTTCTTCTTCATTGATCTATAGAAAATAGTAAAAATTAAATAAATAACTTATAATTTATTATATTATTTATAAAATTTAGCAAGAAAACTTTTCAACGAATCGAGATTTTGACTTCTTTTGCTGATTAGTACCCACGAAAAAGCTTAAAAATGGTACGTTTTAAGGTGGGGACTTTCGTGTCGGGAGCTTAGAAGACGTATAAACTTATTAGAGCTTTCTGTAAAAGAAACCTCACCCAACACCTATCAGTATATCTAGGTTAATCTATATTTCTTAAGGAGAAAAGAAACAACTCCCATATTTTATACAATACGAGTAGAGATGTCATATTGAGTTACACTTCAGATATTGAAGGATGGATGGGTAATCAGTTAGTAGAGTGTCTCCAAGTCCAGACAGATTGGAGTAGAAAGTGGCATTGTGGACTTGTTTACTCTAGTGGTCACAGACATTGGGGTTGACTCGGTCTCACAAAACGCTACCGGATACCGGCTACACGGCTGACGGACAAAGAAAGCTCCACCGATACAATGTAGTGGATTGTATTACATTTTGTAACGTCTCGCCCTTGTTATAACCGAAGCGGCCTGCATCTGCAGACTCGACTTGTGATCTAGGTTCAGTTTTCAACTAGATACTTCCTTAAGATTTATGAGATTTTTTTTTTCCTCCCTAAGATAATTGAAGTTAGGAGTAAGATACTTACGTTCTTAATTTAACACTAGAACAATTTTGTATAATGATTAAGTGTATTTTAATCTTATTTTCATTATCACCAATGAACTACGATTATAACTTAAGAATTAATCGTATTAGAAACTATTTTTTCTTAGTTTCTGTAACTATACGAGGTAGGAGGGATAAGGAAAGGTGACGTTTTAGTCTCACCTGACAGTTCCACATGGAAGCCAGCTTCACCCACAAACATAGATATATCCAGAATGACAGTTCCAATGGCAGTCCACGTGACAACTAAACGGTATCCACGCGCCCCTTCCCTTTTATAGGTTGCTGGAGGGGAGAAGAGGGACGAATCGTTCTCCCACCTCGAATTGGGCGGGGCAACAGGATTGTCAAATCAGAAAAGAAATGAATGAAAAGTTTACTCTTTAATTTTTTTAATATTACATGAAATTTTTATATATAAATTACCATAAGAGTCCTCATAATTGCATATAAAAGATAACATTTCTATGTATTAGATTATACAAGAGATAACAAGTGTCCAGTTACAAAGAAGAGTTTTTGTTTATGTAAATGTTAAATAACTTTTATATTTTTATCTAATTTTAAGAACATTTTTGCAAAATATGTTTTGACAAAAATGGAAACAAAGAAAGACTATCATCAACAACTGTTTAAACAAACCAATTATAAAAATGCTAACCACTATATCAAGTACAGTAAGACCCTGCTTAGCACTGCCTCGATTAACACTGAGTCAATATAACATGGTCTGCTTGAAGCCTTAAAAAACACCAGAATTTATGCTGATTCAAATTATCGCAGCATTTCATTGTTTCATATATAATATGATTATTCCCAAACACAAACCAATCAGCAAAAGGTGGCAATTCATCGTAGCGCCACACTTCCCTTAAATCTATCTTTGTTTTGTGCAATTTTGGAAAAAATATAACATCATGAATGCTACAGGCAATATTGACTTCACTTGGCAAGAATTAACTGATAACTGCACGAATGGAGCATGGAAAAGTTATGGCTTAATATATCCAAGAATTCTCAACAAGAAGAGCCTATCGCTGTATTGTTAGGTTGACAATTTGGTCAACCTAATCAATACAGAAGGACTAGGAGATGTAAACGAGCAAGGTATTGAGGAGTTACTNCAATAACTGATATTATTTTATGATTCCTTCAGTAAACGTTATTCAGAGATTTGATTTTATTTCTTGTAAATTAATACACAATTTTTAACTTGTATACAGGATTAGGTACAGTCGACCCCCTATAACACTGTTGATTTTTCCGTTTTATATGAATTACATGTTGTACGAGTCACTTATATTTTACGAATACGTGAGCCGTTTACAGCCCGGCACACGTATTTGTAAAATCTAAGTGACTCGTACAACATGGAATTCATATAAAACGGAATAATCAACAGTGTTATAGGGGAGTTGACTGTACTTAGAAAAGAAATGAATTTTATATTAAATCTTTTGTACGAATTCTAAATAGAAAGTAATTGATTTATTTGAAATTTTCGTTCCTCTCACATTTCATCTTTCACTAAAGAATTGTATTTCAGGAGCGATTTGTTTTTTAATTAGAGGAGAGAGAGAGAGAGGATGGTACTAAGATAGGCCAAATTGAAACAGGGGAGAGTTAAATTTTAATTTTATTAAATCGATTTGAAAAGTAGCTATAACGGTGGCCCCTTATTTAGCAACACATCCCTAACCAGGTGGAATAATGAGTAGACTACTAAAGCATCCCCCAGAAACAGGTGAAGAGGCCAAAGTCAGTCGTTTCTTTTATATGAATGTTGTGAAACGAGGCATTTTCCTAATTAACCGGCGAGATGGCCCTATTGAATCTCAGCCTCTATCAAAGACAGAAGGGCTACTATAATTGAACGCGATAGGGTTGAAACACATCTGTCTTGCACCTGCATCGGGGCACCTTGTTGGGGTCGCGGTTACCTGGGTGCAGTACCAAGTGGGCACTTGAAGAGAGAGAAGAACAGTTCCCGATATTCAATAAAAGTAATTTAGTAGGGAATGAGACAAAGTCTGATTAGTAATCTGAAGGACAGGTGGAGAGAGAGAGAGCACCACTCGGCTAATACTGGGAGCGTTAAATTCGGAGCCGGGGATTGAAGGGTTTAGAGAAGTTTCGAGTCATGTTTGTTCTCTCGGGGAAGTGAAGTGGAGTGTCAAGTCGATGATTTGATTGGTAGTGGGATGCTATTGATGCTCTCTGGATAGGAATCGAGCCTCTAACTCTACACGCTGTCCACGGAGGTGACATTTATTAAAGTGCACCTCTTGATTTTTATTAAGCACCGGTATAAAAAAATCGACGTTTCGTAATAAAAGAACACAAATTAACCGACAGGAAATTGAATTTCACATTTTCCTATGAAATTTTCTCATTGAGAAGAGGAAAATCAACACCGATGAAGTCTGTCTGTCCTCTTAAATATCCGCTCATCGGCAGGTAATGCAATTTTATTTTTGTTTCCATTATTAAATGCTCTAAAAATCTAATATAATTTCGAAATTACATTTTTCTATTGTTAATACTTCTTTGTTATTTTAATACGCCATTTCTATTTATTATAAATCAATTATGTATCAAGTACAGTACATGCCATTTATATTTCTATTGAATTAGTAAACAAACAAACAAAAAAAAAAAAACACAGGAAAATTGAACGTCACGACTTTCGGGTGACATATGGCATCAAAACAATTGATTATCCAACAACCGATTTAAGATAATGAATGACATATTGGAAGCGCCAGATTGCACTTAAGCAGAAATTATCGCGTGTTTATTGCTCTCAATTAAACTTGAAGATTTAATTAACCAAATACCAAAAAAAAATCCCTTTAAAAAAAGGAGATTCTGAACTCGATAAATGGAATAAAGTTTTTTTTTTTCTATGGAAGAGCAACGAGTGGTGAAGGGGTCAAGCAGAGTCAGCAGTCAATTTGGGTATATTCAGTTGGATCCAATCAGATCTGAAAGTGTTCAGTCAAAATGACAACATGTGTTTTTATCGCTTCGGTTTCCGGCCATCTGTTATGTTAGAGGCGTTTGGCTATTGTTCGTGGTAGAAAGGCCAACACCAGCAACTCACCAGCAAGTGCCTGCACTAAAGATAACCTTAACAGGTTAGTCTTCTCTCTCTCTCTCTCTTGCTTCCTATCGATAATACCAATCGTTTTTTATCCATACAGATACGATTCGTAAATCTAAACTTACAAGAATTATAATGGGACCCTTCTGAGATTGTTTTTCCTATATATTTAAACAATAAGGTTAATTAAGAAGAACTTTTGTTAAGAACTTGAAGCATTTATATGATTAGATTATCACGAGAATTTGCCCAAATCTGATGGCAGATGGAATCCAAAATAACAAAATTCGTTTCGGGTTATATCCGCGAAACGATAGAGAACAGGTTGGAACGGTTACACACTGACTCTTTGCATGAACAAGTCGGTGTGAGTCAGGGCTTTCTTGGTTCCCATGACTGGTTGCAGTACGAGGCTCGTTTTGGCAATTTAACGCCTGTCACAGTTTGTTAAATCGTCGATTACCTTATCAAGTGCCACTGTCGAATCTCTTTTAACCATTCGACATGGGAGAATATACATCATTCGGAAAATATTGCTTAAAAGGGGGAGGGTGTTCTACAGGTTGCATAACCCATAAACGTAATAGAAATCTAACATTTTTATTATTCAATTTTGTTGGCATTAGAGAAGATTTAGAGAGAGAGAGGATTAACTTTTACTTTAGTAGTATTAGATCTACGACGATATACATAAATTATTGTTTGCGAAGAACGAGTCTTACGGATTTACACGGTTATTATGGCCATGCTACTTTACTACCGTCCGAAATTCTCACCCTTGGTAGAAATAAAAACTTAGCTTATCTTCCCAGGGCTTAACGGCTAATCTGAGTGGAAGTACGTCATCATTGTTAGGTCACGTGTCGTCGGTGGGGATGTTTGGCACCGGAAATGATACATTAGGCGTGGAGAAAAAGAATTTGACGGATGCGGAGGCTGTAAGGGCGGGATTAAGGAGCTAATTTGATGCTCTCCATTCATGCAAACAAATACTATTTTTTTTTTTTGGTTTTCCTGGAAGCTAAAACCATAATGGAGGAGGTGTAGGATTTAACACGGAGTTATGTCTTTATTGTTATAATTATGCATATTTTATACACCCCGTGAGAAAATCGAAAGACTCGTTAGCATAAAATGATAAAATTAACAGTCTTTCGAAGGTTTTTAATAAAAAAAAAATACCTTTGAAAGACAGTCCAAGTTGAACTTTTATGTAATTAAACACAGCAATTAATCAATTAATTTTTCATGTTTTAAAATATAATTTTTTTCCAAAAAAAAAAAAGAAAAAGAGAGAGGAAGAGTAAGGAATAATTGATTTTTGGGTAGATAATAATTAAGATTTTTTTTATTATAATTACTCAATTCTAGTTTCTGAAGGTATTCATTTAGGTGTATTATCTATTATTGTACGATGGGACGAGGACGGTCACAATACATCGCTCCGATTACATAACCTCCCGGTACTAATAGTCGATTTTCTTCTATTAAAAAATGTGTTCTGTAACAGAATACAATGTTAAATTAGCTTTGTAACACATGAAAGGTTATACAATTAGTGCTTAAAACTATTTACACCAAGAGAGGTGAGGGCGACTATAAAGATAATTAAACTATGAAATTATTAAAATGAATTTTTAAAAAAATCATTCCGTTTTTAGGTAATTTAACGGTGGCTTGAAAAAAAAAAAATTGGTAGAAAAATCACATAAAAGAGCGTTATATTTTGCGTATCTGATAGGATGAAAGAGGAAAGTGTCAACATAGGGCAGGTGTCAACCGTCATAAACAGTTCGGTGTTTACTGCCACGACCTCATTGTTCTGCCTTGGTTATGACTTAGCACTGATGATTACTGGCACTCTGTCCATTTAGCCATCTGCCGCCATTTCGTTCCATTCACCACTAGCAATATTTCTTCCGACTGTTCCCTGGAACAATGCTGAGAAATAAAAATGGTGCATTTGTTTGTACTGTTCCGGTGCAAATATTACGCAGTTTTCTCTTTCCTCCACTTTCCATTGGAAACTGTTATTGTCCTGGGAATGGTCCTGCAATCCACTTAACCAAACTGTCGATGGAGCAGGAAATATTGATAAACAATTCGAGTGGGTTATACTTCACTTTGGGGGTTCTTGGCAC